GCTTTATCACATTATTTTCGAAAAATAATATGGACTATTTATAATTACTTAAGCTTTTACTTTATTATTCATAATTTTCAAACATGTGAATTTAAAATATCAATTAAAAAATTATTATGGAAATCTAAAAACGTATACTGAGGAAAAAAGTATGGTCAAAAGTTGGAAAATGATACAATTTACTGTATTTTTAGCTCAGTGGAAGCAACAAAAAGCAATGGAACGCAGATATGGTTTTATATTACTTGATAAAATTTTATAAATGTGGTAAAATTTGATAATCTTTTTACGATACCTGAGAACATGGCACAGAAACCATATATTAGATTTAATTTAATTTTCAGTTTTGCATTTTTTAATAAATGTGTGGTAATAGGAACTCAGATCGATGACCAACCTCGAGCTGTCACCTGTGCAGATGCGAATGCTGTCGCCAGGCGAAGGATATTCAACCAGCTCTTTAGCAATGCAATAATCCCCGATCTAAACTGCCCAAGAGACCTCTCCTCTACAATAGCTAGGCTACGTACTGGACATTTCAAAGGTATGAAGATCTCACGCACCAATATAAAATCCTATCCCATCTGCAAGTACTGTCATCATTTGCAACTAACTCCAGACCATGCTTTTGACTGCCAGGCCATTATCCGCTCCCTCTTTCAACTTGGAGCACCCCCCCCCCCATCGAAATTCTCCACGGCCATCGGGCTACAGAACTTGCAATCTTGTTATCAAGACTTTTGGAGAACTCTAATCTTTGCACTAGCACCGTATGCATAGACACGACAACAACAACAACAATAGGAACTGTAACTTATAAAACCAGAATTCCTGGGAAATACAGTACGGTAATTATCTAAGAATTTTTTTCTCTAGCCAAATCATAACCCTCATAAATTTTTCTTAATTTTTTTTGATTAATTCATATTTTTTAAATTTGAATTTTTTGTAGAACAGTTGGAATGTTTCCTAACATCGTAAGAATAAATTTTAAGCAGTTAATCAAAACAAAACACATATGTGGCTAAAGTATTAAGTTTGTTAACAAAAAATTGTCAAAAACATTTTGCATGGATCAGTTGAATTATTAATGAACACGATAAATATTTTGAATGAAAACTCTTTTACTTATCGCAAAAACGTTAATTTATAATAAAACATTAAACAGCATAACTAATTTTTATTCGGCGTCAAAAATGGAAGATTAGAGTTTTTAAGCGATTAAAGTAATAAAAAAAAAGTAACTTAATGACATTAAGTATCTTCCCCTTTAAAGCTTAAAGGGAGAAAAAAATAAACGGCCTGCTGAGCTAAAGACACGTTTCGAAAGAATTTATGCGAAGAATCTAATAGCATAAATTAATATTCATATTTTCCCTTTTGACAATTATTGTCTACGAACAATCTTTAAAATTAAATTTTTTTTTCATTTAATCTTGCAAAGAATTATGTTTTTAATCGACTTTGCGTATTCTGAATTGATTATCTTGCGATTTTTATAAATTTACTAAGCGATTTCTAAAGAAAAATGCTCAGAAAAGGCAAAAACTAGATATTTTTTTCAACTGAAAAAAAAAACTATACTTATTTCTACAGAATAGGAAACAAGTTCCCATTTTTTAAAGACCGTTGACTGAAATAGTTTTATTTTGTTGTTTTGTTGTGTGTATATATATTTATGTATTATATATATTTATAAGAGCTTTCTTTAATTATATTATGCTTTAAAATTCTTCAATTTGTTTATCTATTTCCTCTTGTTGTTTTGGGGAAGTTTTGTATGCTCGTAAGGATACTGGTAAGTCTGATGTTAATCTTACCCTTTGAGGTTCAATTCTTATTGTCCCTACATCATATTTATCTTTAGCAAAAATATCTGAAAAATCTTCTAAAATTTCCTGAAGTTGGGAATTTTTTTCATCATCTTGAATTTGCATAATTCCGTCAACATGATTTTGACAATGTTGCGCACCATTATCACATTTAGTCTCAAGAACATTTGAAAACTCAAGATTATTTTCAGTTTTGCTATTTAAATCTTTATTTTT